AACCCTTTCCAAGGCAGCAATGTCCTTTTTAAGGTAAGGTGACCAAACCTGCACACAATACTCTAGGTGTGGTCTTACCAAGGAATTGTATAAACTTAGTATCACCTCCCTTGACTTAAACGCCACACAGATGTAACCCAACATTCTATTGACCATTTTAATTGCTCCCCTACACTGGCGAGAGTGGGACATGGAAGCATCATCATACACTCCAAGGTCTTTCTCATAATCAGCTACCTTAATTTCAGGGGAACCTATATATCTGTACTTTATATTTCTGCTCCCTGCATGGTTTACCTTACATTTATCTACCTTAAATTTAATCTGCCAGGTATCAGCCCATCGCTAATTAAATCAAGATCCTGCTGTAGCCTCTGTGCCACTAGTTCAGTATCTGCTAGACCACCCACCCTGATGTGACATTGTGCCTCTAATATCTACCCGCTGCTTCCTGTCTGTTAACCAGTTTTTAATCCAAGCTGCTACGGTTCCTGAAATCCCTGTTGCTTTGATCTTAAGCAGGAGCCGTTTGTGGGGGACAACATCAAAGGCCTTCTGGAAATCAAAGTAGATCACATCGTAGGCCTTTCTGTGATCAATTTCTCTTGTAGCTTCCTCAAAGAACTAAAGTAGATTAGTTACAGGATCTCTCTCTCCTAAATCCATGTTGGCGATCCCCCAGAATGTTATCTGAATCCAGGTAATCTACTATTTTCGGTTGGACTACAGTTTACATTACTTTTCCAGTTTTTCAAGTTAAACTAACTGGCCTATAGTCTGATGGGTCATTTCTATCCCTTTTTTTGAATATGGGCGTTATATTAGCATGCTTACAATGAGAGGTACCACACCAGCAGATAAGGATTTCTGGAATAGTAAAGTTGGCAAATAATATCCCTCATCCCTTTTAAAACTATAGGGAAGATGCCATCAGGGCCCTGCGATTAATTTATTTTGAGCTTAGCTAGGCTTTGTAGCACATTAGCTTCGGCTATACATATACACTATATTAGTCATAGCCAATGCTGGATTAATAATAAAAGTAAGTATGTTACTTGTGTCCTCTAGAGTAAATATCCATGGAAAACAATCATTAAGCTCATTAACTATATCAATTTTATTTTCAATTATAAGACTGTCCTGCAGATGAGTGATTTCAGCTTTTAGAGCTCATTTGGAGTTAAAATATTGGAAGAAACTTTTAATGTCATCCTTAGCCTCCAATGCAATCTTCCTTTCTACATTCTTCTTAATGAGTTTAATATTATTTTTTAACTCTTAAATCTTAACCTGTAGACTTAGATACTCCTGCTTTATTCCGACATCATTAGTTATTTTCCATTTGTGGAACACAGCCCTTTTCCTCCTGACTACAGTCTTAATTTCCTTAGTGAACCACCTTGGCTGCAGTTTCCTAGATTTAGTTTTGCTGGAAACAGGCATGAATGTGCTTTTAAAAAACTCCCTTGCCTCTTCAACAGTTTTGCTATTTAACTCAATCCAATTTACAGTTTCTAGTTTCAATCTCATACCATTAAAGTTTATATTTTAACCATGTTATGATTACTACTGTCCAGTGGTTCTAAAACCTCTAATTTTCCAATTCTATCCTGGTTACAGTAAGAAATCAATATCAAGAACAGCTTCTCCCCTGGTACAGGTTTTAACTGAGTAAAAAAAGCAATCCTGTACCAATACCACCATCTCAAGTTCAATTACAGTAGAACCAGAGACTGTGTCCCATTGTATCCCAGGTAAATTAAAATCACCCATAACTACCACATAATTTTTATTACTCATAATCCAGATATCGCCATATTACATTCTGCTTTCCTCTGCAGCTACATTAGATGCTCTATAACAAACACCGACAATTAGGCCATTTGAATCTTTAGCATCTGGTTTTACCCATATAGCTTCTTTACTTTCATTTTTATCAGTAAGCTCCCTTGCCTGTAAGTTCTCTTGTCCTACCACACCACCTCCCTCTCTGCCTATCCGGTCTCTACGGAACAACATGAAACCATCCATATTATATTCTTCTCCATCATTATCACTCAGCCATGTTTCTGTTATTCATATAATGAATATTATTCATTTAATGGCTGGTACCTAATGACTGCTTATAACTTTGTTCAATATTGAAAGTAAGCTTAACTCGTGTTTTAATTACCACTTTGAAAACAGTGTCTTTAATGGAATATTGTTATTTTTTAAACTGTGCTTTTAGATAGGTCCTAAGCCTCCTTCGAATCTGGATATTCTTGACAGCACATTTCAAAATCATGAAAATGGGGAAGAAAGACTGCAATTCAGATCGAGGAACGCGCGTGTGTTAAAAGGGTCGTGATATGAATCTTACAGTTCGCCAGGCATGTTACCACGTAGACTGTAATATTACCCCGGGTAACGTTACCTGAATGTCAGTCGTTAAAACAGCCACTTTCACATCTCCCGCTTCCATGAGCTACATTTAGCCATGGCTGCCATGTGCGACTGTCGCTTGTCATTAGAACGGAATGCGGACTACGTCACTTCCTCCAGGAGTTGGACGGCCGGGTATTGGTTATCGAGACTGAATGTTGTGTCCTGATTAGCCAAATTAGACCTCCATCATTTAGGCGTGACGTTTATTTGGGTCCTGTACTGTGCTTTTCGGAACCCAGTCGGAAGAAAATCACACCCATGCCTGTATGGTGTCATAAAAGTACTGCCCCTCTTAATGCGATGCATTCCGTCAGGGTGTGAACGCTATAGATGTGCTGAAAGAGACTTTTCACCCAGTAACGTTTTTTCAGCAAAAAGGGTTCAGTGCTTCAAAGTTTACTTTCTGGTCATTTAAAAATCTTACACCCACTCCTGTCGTTCTTGTAAATAAATGTGTCACTGACATGTGTAATACAGTACCTCAGTGGTACCATATAGGTTGGGGATTCAAACCAGCAACCTTCCAATTACATGCAGCTTCCCTAACCATCAGGCCACTGCTGCCTGTGCACCCATCAGCCTCTCATTAGCTTTTGAACTGCTTTTAAAAAAGAAACCATTTTTCTAGCTTTTAAACGGATGTCTGACAATGCAGGCTGTTCTTCCAGAGCCTTCATCACTATGAGGTTGAGTGTGTGGGTGACGCAAGGCAGATGGCGCAACCACAGCTTCTGAATACTTGACACCATATTTGCTGCATTATCAGTGACCATGCAAGGGATTTTCCCACTTAGCCCCCAGTCAGAAATGAGCAACCACAGCGTCCTATAGACATGTATTTGACAATTAGCGCATATTTACATAATTAAATTGTGTAGCATTTAATCAAATAATGTAGTCATTTTTAAAAAGGACAACTTGTTTGCCTATTATAAACAGCGTAGTCAATTTCTGTTTTCTCAGTTTTGAAGGTGTATAACTTTATTATATTATTCCGAACGTTACACTCACTTAAGTTACCTTCTCAAATTGGTACAGACTCCATAGCAGAAGGTCTATTGTTTCTTTTCAAAGCTGGCGGATGTTTTGCACGTAGATGGTGAAGCAGTAACGATGTGTTTTTATTATATGACAACTGCTGGTCACATAGACAAATCACCTTTGTAGGCAGGGATGCTGCTAGAGATTTTGGGCCCCATGATCATTGCAATAATGTTCAACATTTTCTAGGGCCCGTGTTGCACAGAGGCCCCTGGAATTGTGTTCCGTCGAAACATGCTACCCATCGAGTTCCGCTACCTAGCGGATCTGCGCATGTGCAGTCCCACAAATTTTCACTATGTTTCCACGCCCATTAATCCATGCTACCTTGGTGCTGAGACTTCGGTTGACGGTGAGTTTAAACCGTTTTCCTTTGCTTAATTTGACCGAAACATTTGAGTTTCTGCATAAACTGTCGTGAATGAGCCTTAAGGTTGAGGCAAATAAAAACTTAGAGTAGAAAATTATAGTGGAAAAGTTTTATTGCGATCCAACCAACAATTCCCTGCCAGCCCACGGATCTGCACACCGAAACTGGTTCAGGGTGCAGCGCTGTTCAGTGCAGAGTGTAGTTCATACATACATGCTTACGCACGTGATGACATATGCGATCAGCTACCTTTCGATTAAATTTATGATAATGCTAATAACAAACAGGTCTTCTAATAATATTGAACGTCCACAGTGTAGTTTTTCCAATAATTTCCGTCAGCATTTATTAGCTTTACACAAACGTTAGTAACAATAACTGCGAATGAACTCCCAACTAATTTCTGCGCCATTACTTAATCCCTTCATTTTGCACTAATACTCAATTCACAGTTAGAAAATGAATAGCATGGTTTGATACTGATGTCTATATATATATATATATATATATATATATATAACTATATTAGTTTGTAGTAATACAATTAATTATTTGTGTGTGGAAATGTTATTTCTTAGCTATGGAGGAAAGGTGGGCAGAACTATTTAACTTTCTGTCTCTGGGTACATACCAATGTGGATATAATAAATCCCAGAAACTAAACCTTAGGAGGTATTCTTCTAAATTCACATTGAAGGGTGAGTATCTGCAATAGATTCAAATATAGCTGGTGTCTTGGTGAAATAGCTCAATAATGATGTTAGTTTCTGAATTAATGTTAATTGCAGAAGGAGAGCTCTTCTGTGGCAGAAGAAAAGTCATTAAGACGAAAGAAGATGCAAGAAAGCTCTTCAAAGAATTTCACTCTTCTCCAATGGGGGGTCATTCAGGCATCCTGAAAACACGCAATGCAATGTCCTCTAGATTTTATTGGCTTGGAATGACCATTGATATTGACCACTGGGTATGAGTTTTTATTTGTTTTGTTTTAAATAATTTTGAATGCTGTATCAATATATTAATAGTTGATTTCTTAAAGGTCTTGGAATGTGATACGTGCCAGAAGGTTGGAAAACCTTTGGCTGCTACACAGCCATTAGAGTGTATTAAGGTAAATGTATATTGTGCTTTATTGATATTATAAAACAGCTATTAATTAAAACATCAATTTTAATTTATATTTAAGATATAAATCTAAAAATAAATGTATTTGTTTTATCTTGATAGGTTTCTGCTGTATGGGAGCTCATTGGCATTGATCTGACAGGACCTTTACCAAAAACTGAGGATGGGTTCCAGTATATCCTAACAACGACAGATTATTTTTCTAAATGGGTTGAAGCTTTCCCATTGAAAACAAAAACAGCACCTGAAGTGGGACGCCATATTTGTTCTATTATATATAGACATGGCTGTCCTAAAAGAATTCTCTCGGACCAGGGAAGAGAATTTGTGAATGATGTATGTGTGTTTTACATTAGTATTGTAGTAAATATAACCCAGAAATTATTTCTTTCTGCTTGGATTGTATTTGTATTTGTCAGCATTCTTTTTTTAGCTCAACAACAGCCTTTGTAAAATTTTGGGCATTGAAAGAAGTGTCACTGCTGCATATCATCCCCAAACCAATGGCCTGGATGAGAAAACAAATGATAACATAAAACGGCAAGTTTTTGAGGTTTTTTTTAGAACTGTGTGAGACAGGCTCTATTCTTTTAACATCACATCATAAATTATTAATATTATTGACAATCAATCTCAATATTTATTCTCTATTCATATTTATTTAATATAATGAATCTCAGTATATTATAAAGTGCATGATCAGAGCAAGAATTTATCAAATTTTTGCATTTCTTATTTTACATCTTAGGGCTCTGAAAAAATTGGTCAATGAAAAGCAGGACAACTGGGATGTCTTCTTGGATGCTACATTGTTTTCTCTCAGATCTAAAATCCACACCACCACAAAATTCTCTCCTTTTCTGTTAATGTATGGAAGGGAGGCAGTTTTCCCCTCTGAGCTTCCTGTTGACATGCCTGTAGGTTTGTTTCTGGAGTGCTTTATAAAATCTTAATGATTTGTGGCAAGATCAGATCATGTGTGTTGAACAGTTTCTTATGACTGACAAGTAGTTATTTAAGAACTCAAACTTTAACAGAAATGAGTCATGGATGTTCAAGTAACATATCTTGAAACAGCAAATTACATTGTTCTTAATGATTTTAGAAAAATTAAGTCTTTGTCATGATCTGTGAATAATAATAATTTGCTGTGAATGTTTTTCCACTTCAGCTTTCCACAATTATTCTTCCTGATGAGAAAAGCTATGGCACATTTTTTGATGAAAAAAAAAGGTAGTTGAGACAATAAAAACAACAACAGCTGAAAACATCTCCAAGTCACAGGAAAAACAGAAGCAGGCATTTGCTAAACGAATACAAAAGAAGTACCAAAACACAGTTTATCATGTTGGAGATGAAGTGCTTCTGCTCAACATGAGGAAGCGGGGACGGAAGGGAGGAAGAATTCAACCTGATTTTACCGGACCTTATGTCATCCAGGCAATATGTGGAAAGCTGGTTACACTGTCTAATTCTGAAGGGGAAACTTTAAAGAACAAATACAATGTAAACCACATCAAGCCATACAGAAGGAGCCAAACTGATGTCCCAAGTCAGGAATCACACAAGGTGCCAGAAGAGTATAAGACCAATAAACCTCCCTCTAGCCCAGAGCCTCTGACAATAGAAAAGGATTTGGCAAATGTGGCTGAAGAAATTTGCGTGCCACAGAGGCCTTCAGTAATTCATTTTGCCACAAGAAAAGATGCTGAAATCCACAATGAAACAAGAGCGGTAAGAGCAAAATCACTACCTAAGAGACTGCATACATCTTTATGTGCTCTTTTTTCCCCATTTTATGTACTTTTAATACGGTTTTATTCTGCATTATTTTTCAAAATACTATCTACGAATATAGACTGTTTCGTTGCATTTTGTTGCATAACTATGTGAAATCTTAAATCTTTCAAAGGAAAGAAATTCAAAGGAAAGCTTAGAAGAAAGAGGTTGTAGTTCTATTTGTGCTTGTTTGACCAAGTACAGTATGTTTGCATGAAAAAGGGGTTTGGCCTGTTCATGTTGGCCTGTTGGCCATTTTGACCCGTTGGTCACTGGTTGTGTAATACAATATGTTGGTCTGTTGGCCATTTTGACCCGTTGGTCACTGGTTTTCTTCTACAGTATATTGCCAAAAGTATGTGGATAGCCATTCCAACAGATTTGATCAAGTATTAAGGGAAATCTTTGTTCCTGCATGTAAAGACAATTATGTGGGTTCAGCTTTTCACAACTGTTTTAAAATGTCCTTTTTGTGACATTAGATCCAAAAAAAGAGAGGTTTACCGAGGCTGGCCTTGAACATGTTTGAAAATAAATGTTAAACAAGCACAAATAATTATGACATTGTGGTGTTGATATACTTTTGGCCATATTACATTAGTGCAGGGACTCTACAAAAATGTCTGTGATTTAACATTTATTTTGCATTTTTAGTTAGAATGCTCTGGTCTGCCGAAGATCATGGCCAGGTGGAAGCAGTTGTTGGACCATACAAATTGTATGATACATCTTTCCGTACACTGCATGGGAATGAATGGTTGGCTGATGAGGTAAGAGATTGCTTAGTTATAAATGTATTAAAAAAGAATATCTAAAATTGTTATTAAATGTGTTTTTTATACTTCAGGTTACTGATGCATACTTGTTCATTGAAAAACAGCAGGCAAGTGGGAATCATATTTATGTAACTTTTGTTTAATATTTCTTGCACTATAATTTAGTGTTAAAATAGTTTTGTGTTTAACAGAAACCTGTTCACCAAGTCTGTGCTGTCGTTGCAACATCACTTTTTTCTGGACAGTTCCAGAGACACAGAAAGGTAACTCATTTTTCACAGCTATATTAGTGATTATCTATAACAATAATTAATGATAACTTGGAATTGAACCTATTCTTCAGATGAAGTTTCCAGAGGAAGGAATTTGGATATGCCCTGTAAATGTTGGATCTCATTGGATTGTAGTGGTATGATTACATTTTTTGCTTCTTCTATAATGCAATATAATTGATATTAATGAAATATTACTTGCATGTATTATGACTATATATATTTTACTTGATGGCTAATGCAGCAAAATTCATACTCACTTTGGATAAAGCATCTGCTAAATAAAAATAAATGTAGAGAGAATAACACAATTGCACTGAATATTTTCAGATTGTCAACATGTGTGAAAAAGTTCTTGTGCTGATCGATCCATTCGCAAATGAAGGTGCTTATGAGCGCAAGTTTCTACGCAACTGGAGGTAACAGTTCTGTCAAAGTGTCTAAATTGACCGTTGCAATACAGAGCTTAAGGCATTTTATGTAATGAAAATTGAGCTGAAGCTGTCACTGAAAGTCATCATTTGTCTTTGTGAACACATCACAGAACATCACACAGTGCATCACAAACAAAATGTGACCTCTGCATTTAGCCCATTAATTTTTAATTTTTTTTTTACAATAATTAGGAATTTCTTGAGGACGACAGACTGTGGAGACCATGGAGCAAAATGGACAGTTCAAGCTATGCAGCACAACAAGCAGGCTGATTCCAGCAGCTGTGGCATTTTATCACTGATGGTTAACATTTTGTACTATTGTTTTTGGCATTTATAAGTAAATTAAATTACTGAACACACTAAAATGCAATGCAATTTTGCAGTTTTCTGAACATTATCTTGAGAAGGGAGACATCAGTGGTGTCAAGACATCTCCACAAGCAATACGCAATGCAAGACTTGAAGTAGCCTGTGCACTACTCCAGTATAAAGGTAAGTAGAATCAAACACTTAGTGAAAGCAAATTAAAAAATGCACTATAAGGAGTTCCTACCACTGTTTCAGTATGCAAATTAATTTTAATAATGTTAAATATAAAACTATTACACCTATAGTATAATAGTTATGTTAGCAACTTTAAAGAAAATATCAAATTTCTTTCAATTTAATACAATAAATAAAGTATATGTGCATTTTTACTCACATATGAAATATATGGAGTGTGAGATAATGTACTTATATAGAATCGCAACAGTTTTAAACATTATAATAAAACATTGTTTCTAGGGAATGCAGATGACTTTTGTGTGGTGTGCTCATTCCTGGAAACTGATGCTGATAAGAGCATGATTGAAATGGTAATGTATAACAAAAATGTGTGTTTTGAACTATTAATTGACTGTAGCATGTCTGTGCATAGTGCCATATAATTTGTCTCATTGTGTAATTATATGTACCTAATTATTTTATTTTTTTTGCTTTTCTCACCTGTAGGTGCAGTGTGATATGTGCAGTAGGTGGGCACATTTTGAATGTGCCCAATATGAGAAAGACAATTGTTTGCCATATCTGTGCAAAAAGTGTCAGAAAAAAGTATAATGTTCTGACCGATTCATACTCTGTAAGCCCTGTTTAGAATGTGCTTAGAGTTTCCCGTATTTTGTATGTTTTATTTTAAATTTTTTACAAACGAGTTTGACATATTTTACAAGTACTGGTGCAATAAAAAAGTAGAAGCATTATTTAATAGGGTTTGTTGGTGTATTGCTTTCTTAAAGTAAAGATGTTATTTAAAATATATTTAAATAACTTTCACTACACAATTCTTTAGATTTGTTATAAATTGATAAATATTTTGGTATAATTTGGTATAGAACAAGACACATTACAGATAATTCGACGTCATCCTAATAGTGCAACACAAAGTGATTTTGTGCTGTAAGCATTATTTTATAAGGGATATTAGTCTATCAAATTATGCTACACATACAATTTTTTAAAAAGCTAATATACACTGAACAAAAATATAAACGCAACACTTTCGGTTTTGCTCCCATTTTGCATGAGCTGAACTCAAAGATCTGAAACATTTTCTACATACACAAAAGACCCATTACTCTCAAATATTGTTCACAAATCTGTCTAAATCTGTGTTAGTGAGCACTTCTCCTTTGCTGAGATAATCCATCTCACCTTGGCATATCAAGGTGCTGATTAGACAGCATGAATATTGCACAGATGTGCCTTAGGCTTATATTTTTAAGTATAGACTAATATAATAGAGTATAAAACGATGCTCCGCATATTCAAA